AAATGCAAGTAAAATCTTACTGAAGATAATTCAAAAATAGTTGCAGCAGTATATTGACAGAGAACTTCCAGAAATGCAAGCTGGATTCAGAAGAGGACGTGAAACAAGGGATATCATTGCTGATGTCAGATGGATCTTAGCTCAAAGCAAAGAATACCAGAAGGATGTTTACTTGTGTTTTATTGAGTGTGCAGAAACATTTGATTGTGTGGATCATAACAAATTGTGGATAACATTGAGAAGAATGGGAATTTGCAAACACTTAATTGTACTCATGAGGAACCTGTCCATAGAACAGGAGGCTGTCGTTCAAACAGAACAAGGGAACACTGTATGGTTTAAAATCAGGAAGGGAGTGTGTCAGGGTTGTATCCTTTCCCCATACTTATTCAATCTTTATGCTGAGCAAATAATCCAAGAAGCTGGACTATATGAAGAAGAACGTGGCATCAGGATTTGAGGAAGAATCATTAACAACCTGCAATATGCTGATGACACAACTTCACTTGCTGAAAGTGAGGATAACTTGAAGCACTTACTAATGAAGATTGATGACTACAGGCTGCAGTATGGATTACATCTCAATGTAAAGAAAACAAAAACCCTAACAACTGGTCCTATAAGCAGCATCACGATAAAAGGAGAAAAGATTGAAGTTGTCAAAGACTTCACATTGCTTGGTTCTACAATCGACACCAATGGAAGCAGCAGTCAGGACATCAGACAACGTATAGCACTGGGCAAATTGGCTGCAAAGGACCTCTTTGAAGTGCTGAAGAACAAAGATGTCTTCTTGAGGACTAAGGTGCGCCTGACACAAGCTATGGTATTTTCAATCACCTCATATGCATGTGAGAGCTGGACAATGAATAAGGAAGACCAAAGAAGAGTCCATGCTTTTGACTTATGGTGTTGGCAAAGAATGCTGAAAGTATTGTGGACTGCTAAAAGAACTAACAGGTCTGTCCTGGAGGAAGTGCAGCTGGAATGCTCCTTGGAAATGAGAATGGCCAGACTTTGTCTCACATACTTTGCTCATGTTGTCAGAAGGGTCCATTCCCTGGAGAAGGATGTCATGCTTGGTAAGGTGGAGGGTTGACGAAAGAGGGGTAGGCCCTCAATGAGATAGATTGACACAGTGGCAGTGTCGATGGGCTGAAGTATATCAAGGATCATGGAACTGGCACATGACCAGGTAGTGTTTCGTTCTGCTGTGCATAGGGTCACTATGAGTCAGAGATGACTCAGCCACACCTAACAACAACAGTGTCCTCCAAGTTCATCCATGTTGTGTGGTGTTTTGTAGATTCTACTTTATTCTTTAGTATTGCTTAGTATTCCATTGTGTGTATGAACCCATAGCCAAACTACCATCATTTCATGCCTGGTTTTCTGCAATAGTCTCCTAACTGGTTTTTCTGCTTCCCCATTTGTGCAAACTGAAGGCCTCCAATGGCTTCCCATCTTACTTGTTTGTTGTTATTGTTGTTATATGCCATTGAGTCAGACCCAACTCATAGTGACCCCTCCTTGGGTTGCCGAGGCAGTATCACTACGGATAGTAGATTGCCCAACCTTCCTTCTGAGGAGCGGCTGGTGGCTTTGAACCACCAGCCTTCTGGTTAGCAGTCAAATGCCTTAGGCACTACACCACCAGAGCTCCTTCTTTTAGTAAAAGTCAAACTCCTTACAAGTCCTTGAATAATCCACTACCACCTTTCCTCCTTCCTCTATCCACTTCAGCTACACTCAAACAAAAACAAACACACTCACTGCCATCCAGTCATTTCCAACTCATAGTGACCCCCTTCTGGTCTCCAAGGTAGTAAATCTTTACAGAAGTAGACTGCCCCAAGGAGCAACTGGTGGGTTTGAACCGACAGCCTTCTGGTTAGCAGTCAAATGCGTTAGGCACTACGCCACCAGAGCTCCTTCAGCTACACTGGCCTCTTGCTATTCCTCAACTAAACTAGGCACACTTCTATCTAGGACTCTTAAAAGTTCTTCCTCCAGATATCTACAACCCTTACTCCCTCATCCCCTTCAGGTATTTGCTCAAATGCCATCTTTCAGAAAGACTTTTCCTGACCTCCCTATATACAACTACATTTCTCCATTCCCACCCCAGAACTCACTATCTTGCTTCTCTACCATATTTTGCTCTATAGCACTTATCACTGCCTAACATATTAATCATTTAATTTGTTTATTTTCTTGTCTGTCTACTATAAAGTGAGCTCCATCTGGGCAGGGATTTTTGTTTGTTTTTATTCTAGCACAAATATTTGTTGAATAAATCTTAATGTTTTATTTTCTCTGATCTTAAGACCTGTGCTTTTTTAAAAGACTAAGGAAAGGGACCTAATAATAAGAGGTCTCAAGAATATGGTGGGTTTTGCATGGAAACAATTAGTCCAAGGGACTAGTGGACCATGCGAACATTAACCTACATGACCCTAAGACCAGAAGAACTAGATGGTGCCTGGCTACCAATGCCAACCATTTAGAAAGGGATCAGTGCAGGAGATCCTGGATAGAGTGGGAGAAAAATATGGAACAAAATCTCAAAATCATAAAAAAAAGACCAGACTTACTGGTCTGCTAGACTGGTAAATCCAGCCCACCTCCCACCCTCTGCCCCTGAGACTGGCCCCAAGTCACCCTTCAGGCCTGGAATTGAACTCACTCCTGTAGCTTCCAGTCAAACCAATACATAGACATATAAGGTTAACATTTACACCAGGTAGGTACACTCCTTAGAACAATTAACCATTGGAGATCAGAAAGGTAGTATTTGCATAGGGAGATAGTTTAGAGGGCAGGAATGCATAGGAAAGAAGGACACAAGGTAAGGTAACAACTGGGAAGAAGTGGGAAGAGTGCTGTTGTATTATAGGGATTGCAATCAATGTCATGAAACGAAATGTGTGAACTGCTGTATGGAAAATGAATTTGCTCTGTAAACTTTCACTCAAATAACAATTTAAAAAACACAAAGTGATTTAAAAATGTATATGATAGATTTAAGGGGATGGCATCTTCATATTTCCACAAATATCTAATATGACTTTTTTCCCCCCCAGCTGAATACCAAAACATCCCCAGCAACCAACCAGGCACCTGGCCCGGATGAAAAGGGTGAGTGAAGTTGGCCTAGGCAGTCAATAGGGCAGGTGAATATAGGGCCATATAAACAAATAGGGCTGTAAGTTTAGAAGCTCTTAAAGCCATATGTTATAAGAATAGGAATGTGGGTAAAAGAAACAAAGGACTATATTAGAGCTACCATATCTAATCTATAGGTTTCTTTCCACTTTTTTCTAAGAAGTAAACCCACTAGTATTTACTTGTTGATTCTAGAAACTGACTCTGAGTTGGTTGTGGGAGCAGACTGAATAGTAAGAAGAAATTCATCACGTTATCTCAACCACGTCTCAATCAAAACTTTGGGGGGAAAGTGAGTGTGCTCTGGGATCTTGTACTGAAGGACTTAGAAATAAGTAGTGATAGAAGACATTTGCCATCTTGGTCTAAAAGAAGCAGAGCTTCCCTAAGGAACTTTAATTCCAGTCAAGGTGCCTGACTTTTAGGAGAGTTATCAGTCATTCTTAATGGGAACCCCACTGAGTCCTGAAGAGAGGGGTGAGTCCTGAAGAGAGGGGATGGCAGGTCAGGTTCATTCATTAATGAGTCTCCCAACTATCTACAGGGAAAGCTGGAAATGCCAAGAAGGCTGAGGAAGAAGAGGAGATTGATATTGATCTCACAGCACCAGAAACAGAGAAGGCTGCTCTTGCTATTCAGGGCAAGTTCCGGCGATTCCAGAAAAGGAAAAAGGATCCCACCTCCTGAATGGCCATCCTTTCCCTTCACCCTGCTCCCTTCTCTCCCCTTCTCCACAGCCCTACTCCCATGCATCTTTGTCTCTTGGTCCCTCCAGCCTCCATTGAGGCAAGTTCAACCCTCATATTTTCCCTGGCCCCCTCAAGCCATCACAGCAGTAGAGGCACAAGGAATATGGGAAAGATAAAGACTTCAGTTGGCAGCCACTTGCTTAAAGGTGCACCAGTTTCTCCTTGGGATGGAGCACTTTGATCAATATTTATAGCTGCCTAATGGAGATGAAGAGCAAGAGGCTTTGAGACTGAGAGAACGTCCCCAGACAATGTGGGAAGGAGGGAAAAGGCTTCAGAGTAGGGTGCCAGAGGGCAGGGTATATGCACTGTTCTGCCAGTTGCAACAGCACACTTCAGGTAACATATTTCCCCCCTTCAGCTCCTTCTGCACCACCACCTCCAACTTCCCTTCTATGAGCTAAACCACAAGTGGAGACCGGAGCCTCCCTTTTCCTCTAGGCAGACCTAGATTAAGCAGCTTACCACATCAGTGCATGCTGAGTAGATTAGTTATAACGAAGGGAGACAGAAACTGGTAGAGGTGAGGAAAAGTTTCCTTCATCATCTAGTCTAGGACCATGGGGCCGAGGCTGCAGAGAACTAGGCAGGGAAATAAGAACTAGGTAGATCTGGGGAGGAAAAAGGAAAGGAGAAGGAGATCTCTGAAGCCACAAGTAACTTCCAGTAAAAGTGTAGTACATGGAGGATTCTTGGGGCTTTGCTAACCTGCCTACCTCTATCCCCCAAGTCTAGCCATCCCCAAAGGCCACACAGACCAAGTGACCCCATAGTTCCCACCCGAACCACTGTGGAGTCAGGACAGAGGTGGGATAGCCACTCATCTGTAATTTTAGCATGTTTATTAATTATAACAATAAAAACCTCAAATGGGTCCATTTAACCTCTGCTTCTGTTTTTCTTGGGAGAAATACGAATGGAAGCCTGAGCTGGCCTCAGGAACGACAGTAGGGCAACACATGGATCACACGGTGGCTCAGAAAAGTAAGACTGCCTGAGCAATTTCAGACTGAAGCTCATCCCTACCTCCTTTCCCCTGACCTTGCCCTCACCTTGATTCACCACCCACACTGTCTTCATCTGCTGTCACCGCCCCCCTGTGCACCTGCAAGGGTATTCATCTCTTCCCTTTCAGCTAAGAACACACTTGGTATATATCCCTCTGAAAACAGACCTAGCTTTCCTTGCTCCCTATCCCCAAATGACCTAGATACCTCTCCTGCATTTTTTCCCCTTCCGTATTTCCCTTCCCTCCCCACCCTCCCTTCTTTATTACAATCAAATTTAAAGGAAGAAGAAGAGGACTCTGGGCTGATAGAGAGCCATGCTGTCACATTGGTGATTTTAAACCATGAAATAAAATGATGGCTTTCAAATGAGCTGACATTGCTGAGAAATGACCTCTATCATTGAAACCAGAAGCCAAATACTTGATTGAGTTAGGAATGACATCTTTCCCCTCCTCTACTTAGAATTTACCCTTCTTGATTCAAGATTACAGAAGTTGAAACCATGTAGCAGCTATGAATAAGGAGCAAAAGGCATTATCCTATATCCCAAAGTTTATCCATGATAAACAAGTCTATGGCTATAGGATATTAAGAGGATATTAAGGGAAAGCCCTGTGGTAAAAGCTGTCAGAGAGAAAGAGGAATATTGACTGTTACACTTGGCATCTGAGTGCAATGTAATAATGGTGACAGACTTTATTCCTGGTCTTGGCATAGTGCCTAAGGTATTTGACTGCTAACCAGAAGGCTGATGGTTCAAACCCACCAGCCACTCCTCAGAAGGAAGATTGGGCAATCTACTTCCATAGAAATGTTGTTTGTTGTTATGTACTGTAGAGTCAGACCCGACTCATAGTGACCCCTCCTTGAGTTTCCAAGGTAGTATCACTACGGAAGTAGATTGCCCAACCTTCTTTCCAAGGAGTGGCTGGTGGACTTGAACTGCCAGCCTTCTGGTTAGCAGCTAAGTGCCTTAGGCACTATGCCACCAGAGTTCCTTCCATAGAGATACCGCCTTGGAAACCCAAGGAGGAGTGGCTATGAGTCAGGATCAACTCGACGGCAGTGAGTTTGGCTTTTGGTTTTTCTCATGGATAGATAAAAAAAATACCCTCTTTGTCATACCTGGTGTGCCTACTGTGTCCCAGTAAAACAGTATTCCCTGTTTCCTTGTTCCATGGACACGAGACGGAGATTGACTGAGGTGCCCCTGTTTCTAGTGATGATTTTTGACAGTTGGCTGGTGCTGAGGCAATGGTGGAGTTCTCTGTCACTGGCCCTTTTCCTGCAGGCTCTGCTGCATGGAAGATATCTGCTCATTTGTTTTTTGCCACATTAACCTGGAATATAGTGCTGAAATGTTTTTCTCTTCATCATCTTTTGTTCCAAAAGTGCTATACTTGTTCTCATACACACTCTTAAGAAAGGGCTTGCTAGCAAAAACACAGTCTATTTCTTTTGGACTTACTGATGGAGATCAAAGACTTCACTCTGCAGTATGGATTACACTGTGTTGTGGTTACCAAGTGCCGCTCTGACAGGAAATATACCACAAATGGGATGGCCTTAACAAACAGGAGTTTATTCTTACAATTTGGAGACTTTAAGTCCAAGTTTAAAATGCCAGGCTGTAGGGACTGGATGAAAGGCCCTCAACCTTGGGGCCCAGCTCTGCCTCCTGCTCCCGGCCCACTGGAGCTAGAGGCATTTCTTCACTCAGACAGCTGCTAGCTGCTGAGGCTGAGAAGCCCCAAGGTTGACAAGTAAAAAAGGCACAGTCCCAATGTTACCAAACTACATGGCAGGCCATTCATTCAAGTTCATTGTAAGTCCCAAGGTCGGCAGAGCATGGCAGGCTGCTGAGCAACAACACGGCTACATGCAGGGTCCAAGCATGCCAGAGGCTAGAGACCATTCCCAAGGCTTCTCCTTATATACAGGAAGCAGACCACATCCCAAAGGCAGCTACTCAGCTGCTTGTGGTAGATCCCACTATGGAGTTGATTGCCAGTCTCATCATGGGGAATAACTACCACTAGCTTCCCAGCCACTCAACCAGGTCTAGCCAAGTTGACACACAAACATAACTACCACACACTTCAAAATAAAGAAAACAAAAATCCTCACAACTGGACTAATAAGCAACATCACAATAAATGGAGAAAAGATTGAAGTTCTCAGGGATTTCATTTTACTTGCATTCACAATCAATGCCCATGGAAGCAGCAGTCAAGAAATCAGAAGAAATATTGCACTGGGCAGATCTGCTGCAAAAGACCTCTTTAAATTGTTAAAGACCACAGATATCACTTTGAAGACTAAGATGTGCCTGATTCTAGCCATAGTATTTTCAGTCACTTCATATGCATGTGAAAGCTGGACAATGAATAAGGAAGATCTAAGAAGAATTGATGCATTTGAATTATGATGTTGAAGAAAAATACTGCCAGAAGAATGAACAAATCTGTCTTGGAAGAAGTGCCAGAATGCTTCCTTAGGAGCAAGAATGGCCAGACTTCATCACACATACTTTGGTAATGTTTTTAGAAGGGACTCGTCTCTGGAGAAGGATATCATGTTTGGTAAAGAAGAGGATTAGTGAAAAAAGAGGAAGACCCTCAACAAGATGGATTGATACAGTGGCTGTGACGACAGGCTCAAGCAAGCAAAGATTGTGAGGCTGGCACAAGACTGGGCAGTATTTCATTCTGTTGTACATTATAGGGTTGCTATGAGTCAGAGCTAACTTGATGGCACCTAACAACAACAATAACATTGCTTTTGAAAACAGAGTTTTACTGTGAGGTTTCATCAGGCTTTATCAGACCAGCAAACCTGGTTATATTAGTTATATTTTGCTGAACCAATGATAAATTTTCATTAAAGTTTCTGAAAGCTGTTTCTCTCTGTCAAACTGCTTACTCCAGCCACGAGGCACTGTTACTAAGCCTCTTCTTTCTGGCATTCCTGTAATTTCCCCCTTGGGGTCCTGAGCTTGAACTGACATTTCCCTTCTGAGGCATTGGGCTTGGGCTGGTATCTCCTCCGTGGACCTTACAACTCTATTTCTCTTCCTTGTCTCTTTAGTATTGACGGCTGAAGAGATACTTTATCCTTGAGTACTAATGACTGAAGAATTATTCTGAGTGCTTTGTTTAAGGGGAACAAAAATCGCAAGTCTTTAGGGGGTATTAGTGAATTCCCTTATAAATGCCTTAGCAGATGAGACAGGACGAGAAACAGACAAGGAGGAAGAAGGCAACACACTTATAATATCTCTATCATTGATACCTCTTTTTGGACTTTTTCTTTCTTTCTTTTTTTTTTTTTCCAATCTGTGAAGTGGTAGCAGGGAGTCCTTGGGTGGTGCAAATGATACACTCTTTCACTAACAGAAAAGGAGCTCTGGTAGCATAGTGCCTAAGGCACTTGACTGCTAACCAGAAGGCTGGCGGTTCAAACCCACAAGCCACTCCTCGGAAGGAAGATTGGGCAATCTACTTCCGTAGTGATACTGCCTCAGAAACCCAAGGAAGGGTTGCTATGAGTCGAGTCTGACTCGATGGCACCTAACAACAACTAACAAAAAAGTTGGAGCTTTGAGTACGCCTAAAGGTACCTCAGAAGAAAGTTCTGATGATATGCTTCCAACAAACCATCCTCTGCAAATGCTCTGGTGAACAGCTCTACCCTGACACTCATGGGTTGCCATGAGTCAGGATCTACTTGATGGCAATTGCTTTTAGGGGTGGCAGGGCTGGATCACAGTCCTGAGAAAAGTAGAAATAGCATCAGACACTTGAGAAAGGAATATACTTTTGCTTATGTTCTTGTCATGGATTGAACTGTATCCCCCAAAAAATACGTGAAGTGAATCCTAACCTCTATGCTCGAAATTATAATCCCATTTGGGAATAAATTGTTTTTG